CATGTGCCACTATGCCTGGCTAATTTTTTCTATGTATTTTTAGTTGTTTGGCTAATTTTTTTGTATTTTTCTAGTAGAGTGGGGAGTCTCGCTCTTGCTCAGGCTGGTCTCGAACTCCTGACCTCGAGCGATCCTCCCGACTCGGCCTCCCAGAGTGCTGGGATGACAGGCCTGAGTCACCGCGCCCGGCCCCAGGGCAGAGTCTTATCTCCCCAAACCGTCCATCCCACAGGTGTTCACACCTGGCGTCTGAAGTACGTGAAATTGCCACCATTCGGTGTCAGGTAGGGCCGCGTGTGGAACATGGCGCCTTCTGAGAGCCTTCGGAGCGGCCACGTGGGTCCCCTCGGTGTTAGGCTGCCACCCTGGCGTCCAGCGCCCTTGCGTGTCTATGGAGCAGGGACGGTGTTGGCGGGAACCGAGTGGACGTCCAGCACGTTGGAGGCACCGCGACAGCCTCGCCGAGGCCCAGGGGCACTGCAGGCCACACGGGTCTGCAGGAAAAGCTCCGAGCACCCAGGCTCCACAGCTCTGGCTCTCCAAGCCCCAGGAGAGCGTGAGAGAACCATGGAGACAGGGGACTGAAGGCCACAGACAGGTGAACTTCCACCAGATTGTTTCTTCAAGAGACATCGCCGCCAGAGGCAGCCACGCCAGGCCCCTTGGACGGCGCCTGTTTCAAGTGGACGATCCGTGGAAAGACGCCACAGCCACCTCGGCGATTTCTCAGGCTGCGCCTCGTTGCATCTAATGTAATAAAACCTGTGATTTCTGGGCCGGGCGCGGTGGCTCACGCCTGTAATCCTAGCTCTCTGGGAGGCCGAGGCGGGCGGATTGCTCGAGGTCAGGAGTTCGAAACCAGCCTGAGCAAGAGCGAGACCCCGTCTCTACTATAAATAGAAAGAAACTAATTGGCCAACTAATATATATATATATACAAAAAATTAGCCGGGCATGGTGGCGCATGCCTGTAGTCCCAGCTACTTGGGAGGCTGAGGCAGGAGGATTGCTTGAGCCAGGAGTTTGAGGTTGCTGTGAGCTAGGCTGACGCCACGGCACTCACTCTAGCCTGGGCTATAAAGTGAGACTCTGTCTCAAAAAAAAAAAAAACAAAAAACCTGTGATTTTGAAAACCTGCTCAGGGAGTCTGTCCATGAAAACAATTAACCAACTACAGCACTAGCAATTTAAATCGAAGGCCACTTTTTATTACTTATTTTAGAAAATAAGTTGTTTTCAGTTACAATGTAGTCTGGGAAGGACACTGTTATGGCACAAAAATTAAGTTTTAGTAAGAGTTTTGTCAATAGATGAGCTAAGTTAATATTTACACACCAAACAGCTTCAAATATACTACTCTCTGGAAACAGTTCGCTGCTTTTAAGTGTTACTTAAACCCCTAACTGGCCATAAAGAGTGTTAGGACATTCCACGGGGAGGCAAGCTTTTGGGCAGTAAGGAATCTTAGAGTACTCAAGATCTGCAGCGTAGTATAAAATTAGGAGGAGAAACACATTCCCTGACTTTAAATGTGTACAGTGTCCATGTGTGATATTTAAGGGTTGTCTAGAATATCCAAAACGTGTGGAGCAGGGCGGTGGTTGGTGGTGGTAAGAATCTGTTGACATTTACGAAAAACGATTTACCCTCTTCCATCATGTAATACTCTCTACAAGTATTTATTTGTGTGTGTGGGGGGGCGATCCATGAATTAATGTTACAGATATCAGAAGAAAAAATTTCACAAAAGAGAACTTTATTCAGTAATACTAAAGAATTAAAGATAGTGTTAATAATAATGTTTAAAAAGTCTCAGCTGAAAAGAGACCTAAACCCCATTAGGTTATTTTTTTGTAAAGTAATGCTTGTGCTATATTTATAGCATTATTCTAGGTAGTCTTGTATAAGAATTCTGTGCTCTATCCATTTACTTGTCCAGATCAAAGAAAGTCAGGATCTATCAGATACACGGTGGCTTGCTAGTTTCCCTTTCTGTCCTTTTTTCTTTTTGTTTTAAATTGAAGGATGTTTTCGTGATTCAATTTTATTAAAAAAACAAAAACAAGAATAACTCAATAAAATAAGGTTTAAAAGGGAGAAAGTAAATGATAATATAAGAATGTTTTAGAATTTAAAAAAAGGTATTTTGGTTCTGTGACTATAGTGATGTTTAACATTTTATAAAAACAGGGATATAAAAAGTAGTTGTATTTGATCTTATGGTTCTTTCATGCAAAAAAAAAAAAGAGAGAGAGAGAGAAAAATAAATAAAATAAAGTAAAAAAAAAGGTAGTTGTATACCACACATTAAAAATCATGTGTGTAAATATAACAAGTATCACGTTTGAGTTTTAAAATTGGTTTAGGGATTTTTAAAATTTTTCTATTACATCAAGAGAAAAATAGTTTCAGTGCAATTTCCAAATAATTAACAGGATAGGAAAAATATGTCTGGAATCTTGCCCATAGAGAGAGGCAATTTCTGTTTTTATGGCACATTTCAATGCTTAAAATGACTAGTTCAATAAGAACAATTCTCCACTGCCCATGAGGGAGAAGGACTTAGCCTTCAGGACCATGAATACCTCAAATAGCAACATGACGCAAGGCACGCTTTCATTTGTTAGGTGAATTGAAATCAGTACACTAACCTGAAAAAAATACCACAGGCACTGTTCTACTGCAAAAGCTCACTTCTTTATATATATATATACACTAGTGATTGTCAAGGAGATGAATCTAATCTTACACTCCTACCCATTCACTAAATAGGCCAACTATGGTCAATCATCTCTATTACTAGCATTTCCATACACATATTGTGAATAAATTCAATTTTAAGATGTAAAAACTAAATACGATTCTAGTTCTCACTCTCTCCAACCCCAATAAAAATCAAATTGTGGATAAACAAGAAGCTCATTATTATCATTAACATTTACTATGGCAGAACTTAGAGAACCAAATAAGTATTCACATCCACTCTGTGAGCTGTCATTGTGCTCTCTGATGACTGCTATTGCAGTGTCCAAAATGGCCAAAGCTTTTAGCAGAATGCTTTTACACCAGGGTTTTTTGACACAGCGCCCTTCTCACTCTGGAGAACTAAGTCCTGTTGCCCTAAGAGCCTAAGGCATCCACTGCGCGTGATGAGTTCATGTTGGAGAGAAGCTGTGAGTCTCGAGTGGCCCTAGTTAGGCACTAGCCAGGGGAGAAGTGAGAAAAAGAGTCACTCAGCTAATTTTCCGAAGGGCTTAATCCTCTCTCTCTTTCTCAATCTGGCTGAGAAAGACTTCAAGGATAGGTATGGAAAGCCAGCGTTTCTATTGTTCAGTGCATCCTACGACTGCAAGCAGAATGCACTAATAGGCTATTTGTGTTTGACTGGCATGAAATACTAGCTGCACACAGAAATCTGAGGATTGGAAATAGCATTGTTTTGATCAGATTGTTAGTGGAGCACCCTTCATGATATAAAACAGAAAGTACGTTGTGGAGTGTGGCCCCAAAGGAATCATCCAGAAATGAAAGTAACTGATAAAAAGAAATGAATTAAATTGGAAAGTGTGTGCCCTTTGGCTGGATAAGGGCTAACGATACTCAGTGGGTGCTGGAGGTGAAAAGTGTGAGTAGAAACAGGCTCAACGTTACCACTGTCCATGGCTTTATGAGCAGATCGTGACCGAGACGCTGCGGCAGTGTGTGCTGTGCAGAAAATCCCGCCAGGGGGGAGCCAGGCCCACACACAGAAATAGCCTCCCCCGCGGGAGGGCCCTCCTGGGAACCAGGGCGTTCACCCTGCACCAGCACGGGCCTAACCCAGGCAGGAACACCCAGACACTTTCATTTACGCTTTAGAAAGCAAACAGGCTGCCCACAAAGAATGGTTAGGAAACTTGAAGTGTTTTATTCCGTACTGTCTTAAAAAAAAAAAAAACAACAACGCGTAGATTGTCATTGATTCATCTGTATAAATGATTTTCCTGGCAACATAGTTAAAACTTTTAACTTCCCATTCAAAAACTTCACAACTTCAGGTATTTGAACTTAAAATTTCCCCCTGCTTTTATTTTTATAGTACATTCTCATTGTGATTAGCTGACTCATAAAGTGGAAGAATTTTTGTTTTTTTTTTTTTAAAAAGAAAGTTCAAAATCTTTACCAATAGGTATGAGGACAAACTAGCGTCCTCTTGGTCAGTACCCATTTTAACAGTACTATTTCTTTTTCATTTTTCCTGAAAGTGGGAGAAAAATAGGCCTATCTGTACCATTCAGATCAAAGCACAAAGTATCATTTTAAAAATAAATACCTAAGGCATACCTGACACACTTTTATGTCAATTTCCTCAGCAGTTTAAAAAGGATCTCAAATGTCCCTGCATCTCCACCTGCCTTCTACCAGCAACCTCTGTGGCCCTTGCCCATGGGATCTGCCTCTGGAGGGTAAATGCTCTTTGTCACTTGTCATCAAGCCTGCAGTTTGATACCCTGGGCTTCACATGCAATTTCAGAAACCCAAATGACACTATATAGACTTGCTCTAAATCTTTTTTTAGTGCAGTTTGGCAAACAGCCCAAATGAAATTCAACTCCAGGTTAAAAGTATCAAGCAGAGATAGAGCTAAGAGTGTCTAGGGCTCTGGGCTGTCGGGAGGCTCTGGAGAGCTTCGGAATGGAAAAGCTGACTGCAGGAGCCGAAGGGCCTCCAGACACCTGTTGCTTTGCCAAAACAGAGCAGTTACCCACAGAGACGCGCAGCCCAGGCCCGGCGGCGGCCGCGCTCCTGGGCTGCTGGGCTGCTGTGAAGATCTTTAAAGGCCAACAACGCTTGACCCCCTGTGTCCCCCCACCCCGCTATCTCAGAAACATTGGTGTCACCCCCACTATAACTCACAGTGTTAAGAACAGCAAGCATTAAACACGGAAACCTGGTCTCTTCTGCTGCATCGTCCGCCTCCTGGGCCTCCAGCGGTTCACTTTCAGGCTCTACCTGCGGGTTTGAACTGCACTTTGGTGTTGGTTTCTAGAAACGAGAATGTTATAAAGCTGTCTGGAGAGGCCACCACTAGATGGCCAAGTCGTCCGGCCGGGCGCGCCCGCTGCTGGCCTTGCTGGACCGGCCGGGCTCCGCGGGCTCCGCGGGCGGCGCGTGCATCTCGGCCGCGGTGGTCAGCGCCTGCTCCTCCTCCTCGGGCGTCGCGGCCAGGGCGCCCTCCTCCAGGCTGCTGCCGCTGCCGTCCGCCAGCAGCAGGGGCGCCGCGCCGCCCGCCTCGGCGTCCTGGGCGTCCCCGGCGGCGGCGGCGTCGGGCGGGAGCGGCCCGGGGCTGCTGCTGCCCGCGGGGCTGGGCGCGGCGGGCGTGGACGCGGCGGGCGAGGCCTTCCGCGCCGGGGCCTGCTGCTCGGCCGCCTGGTTGGCCCAGTTCTGCTCGGCCACCAGCAGGTGGTGGCCGTCGTAGAGTCTGGCCGGGTGGCCCTTCCCGGGCGCCTCGGACAGGGCCACCACTTTGAAGTCCGCCCCCGCCGGCGGTGGCGGCGCCCCGGGGTAGCCCGCGGGCCCGGCCTGCGCCACCGGCGAGGCGGCGCGCGTGTAGTGGGGCGGGAACCCGATGGTGACCGCCCCGGGGAGCGCGGGGGGCTCTGCGGCCACCAGCCCGGCCTCCCCGGGGTCCGCGCCCAGGCGGTTGGTCATGCCCTGCTTAAGCTTCTTCCAGCCCAGGTGGTAGATCTCCAGCATGTTGAGCAGGAGGGACGCGCAGGCCACCACGAGCATGAAGAGGATGAAGATGGTCTTCTCCGTGGGCCGCGAGATGAAGCAGTCCACCGTGTTGGGGCAGGGCCAGCGGTCGCAGCGGTACAGCGGCTTCAGCTCGAAGCCGTACAGGAAGTACTGGCCGGCGATGAAGCCCACCTCGAACAGCGTCTTGAAGATGATGTTGAAGACGTAGGTGCGCAGCAGGGCCCCCGCGATGCGCACCTTGCCGCGGTCGTCCCGCGCCGCCGGGGGCTTGTCCTTGGCGCCCGCCGCGCCCTGGTGCGCGCCGTCGCCCCTCGGCAGCGCCTCCTCGCGCTCCTTCCTCTTCTCCTCCATGCGCACGATGTGCAGCACGTGGCCCAGGTAGATGAGCGTGGGCGTGGACACGAAGATGATCTGCAGCACCCAGAAGCGGATGTGGGAGATGGGGAAGGCCCGGTCGTAGCACACGTTCTCGCAGCCGGGCTGCTGGGTGTTGCAGACGAAGTCCGACTGCTCGTCGCCCCACACCTCCTCGGCCGCGGCGCCCAGCACCAGGATGCGGAAGATGAAGAGCACGGTGAGCCAGACCTTGCCGATGACCGTGGAGTGCTCCTGCGCGTTCTCCAGGAGTCGCCCCAGAAAGCTCCAGTCGCCCATCGCTCCCGATTCCTAACCTGGAAGGGGGGGAACACGCTCGTTAATACGCGGGCCGGACAGGCGGGCTGCAGAGTCCCCACCCAAGGGACAGGCCACTGTCACGGATGGCGCCAGAACGTCGTTCTCTGAGCAGCTCCCCGCAGGAATGTGTGCGCGTCGGACATCTCCCCATTATCCGGCTAGCAGGGCGCGCCACAGGTCTGTGGCACCGGGGTGCCACCGAACTGCTGCTACACTAACCAAGTGCTGGCACGAACCGGGAGCCACAGGTTAACCACAGGTTCAGAGAAGGTGAGAGGAAGCCAGAGCTGGAACAGAAATGACCGGCCCTGGCCTCCCAGCTCCCCGCCCGGCTCTCCTGAACAGGCCCTGCAGGGCCTCTGGGGCTCGGCCCCGAGCTTGGCCGTTCTGGTGGTGTCCTTTCTGTTCACGTGGGATTACAGCAGCCCCTCCCAAGCTGCCGTCATGCCCACGCCCATGCCACCTCCATAACTGATCTGATACCTCCTCTATTCTTCTTTCCTGTCTTCACATCAACTCTTCTTATGTTTAAAATTACCTTCGATAGGAAGTTTTACGTTTACTACTGTCAATGGAAAATTGGCATTGATACCTTAAATGGATGGTAGCTTTAAAAATAAATATATTAACAACTCAGCCAGCTTTATTTGTGAAACAAGGAAATACAGGCTTACTTCTCTTAAAAAAAATAATAAATACATGGATGACAACAAGATTGTCACGCTTTACTGGATATTGTTTGCCAAAAGCTCTGGGTATAAGCTCTCTTTGGTTAAAAGAGGAGGACTGTGAGCCTTAGGAGATAGACTGGAATCAAATGGAGCCCTTCTCCAAGGCTCCCATTTGGGCGGAAACAGAATTGCTATGGGAATGATCTTTTCATCATGTGATTCAATGTCAATTGATGACCACCTAAAATCGAGTGTCCACACTGGACCCCTGGGCAAAGCCGGGTTGGTGGTGGATCCGGGCGGAGGCAGGGGGGCAGAGGGACCAGGGGGTGCTGAGTGCCTGAGGAAGCGCCCAGGGTGAAGCAGGCATAGTCACTCTGCCGAGAGCAGCGCCTAGCCCAGCAGAGCAGGGCCTGCGGTGGCCGGTGACCGACAGCACTCAGGGGCGCCCAGCGCGTGCAGGGGGGAAGCAGCACACCCAGACTCAGCCTTGGGGGGCAGCGCCAGGCCTGTTCTTCTGGGCTGAGTGCCCACAGGCGCTGGGCAGGGGTCACCAGCCTCACCCGCCGGGGCTCAGAGGTGCCAGCACAACAGAGGCAGTGGCCACCCTCGGCCCCCGGTCAGCAAGTGTTAGGTAAATGTCCCGGGGCAGGGGGCTGCCTCTCCAAGCCCGTGCACAACAGGGACCACCGTCAGGCACAGGGTGGGAGGAAGGGGAGGCCGTGGGCTGTTTTTGAGATGGCAGCAGCCCCCGTAGACACAGGGGACGAAGATGAGTCCTGTGTCACCGCCGCTTCAACAACAGGCCAGAGGCCGAGAATGGGAACGGAAAGGCAGCTCCATTCTTCGCGGTGGGGAAAGTGACCTCGGCTGTAAGAATGTACTTGAGTCCCCAGTGGAACCAAAGAAAACACTTCTCATTTCAATTTTTAAAATGTTTTGAAAACATTGATTTTTATGAGTCAGTTCAAAGGCAAATAAACAAAAGAAAACTTAATTCACTGGCAATCTAAAGGAACATCTAAATGTCAACTTTCTCTTAAAAAAAAAAAGACTTTCTCTTGGAATAAACTTCCAATGTTTTGCTTCCACCACTGGAGCCCTTTAGGGAAATCTCACCACGCGCTAGTCCTGCCAATGTCATCCTGCGCGCGACTGCGCCTTTGGCGTGTTCTTAGACAGCAGATGTTTCACTTTGGAAACTTGATGACCCAACACGAACAATCTACTCTTCCCCTTGAAGGATGCCAGGGAACCATTCTAGGTTACTTCCTGCTACTTCACCAAGTGCCCATCTGTGGCAGCTCCCCACAGACTGTCCTCAAGGCCCCCAAATGGTGACTGTGCCCTTCCCCCTGACCCCGTGATCTGCTGACCTCCTCACACACCCCTGAGTCCACCCCCAACCGCCAGGTATCTGGGTGGGCGCTGCACAGGACAAAAACCGTGGTAGTATCAAGGCACGTCAGGACCTGGCCCAGTGTGTGCTATTTCTCCAACCTACACCCAGCCCTGTCCGGGACCCGCCTGCTGACCTGCCTCCTGAGTCCCCTTGAGGGTGGCCACCTTGGCTCACACCCGTGCCCTGGGTTCTCTCTCCCCCTTGCCATGACCTGGTTGATGACTGTCACCCCTCTCTGTTCCAGGAGGTTCCCTCCATCCTCCCACACCCCCACCTGCTGAGCTTCCCAGGACCAGCATGGCCTCTGGCCTCTAGAGACCACCGACCGAGGTGGGCTGTCCCCCCTTTACGCCTGGTCCCCAGGGTGGGGCTGGCACGTGCAGCCTTTCCTTCTCGGCATCCGTGGGCAGAGCAGCTGGGCAGCCTGCCTTTCTGGAGGCGTCCAAGGAGAGGTCGGCGTGGGTACTTAGTACTTCTTCTGGCTGCTTTCCCAGATGCTCAGGCAGTTCTGGCTAAAGAGCAGTTGTCATGATGTGCTGGGACTGAGGGCCTGGGGGCTCCCCACGCAGGGCTGGTGGCACAGAGCACAGGGAGGGAAGGGACTTTTCTGCTTGTCACAGAATGGGCAGTGCTGCCGGCAGATCCCTGTGCAGCCAGGGAGGCAAAATGTTCTGAGGTGTTAGGATGACCTCACAGTAAAGAACTGTCCCACCCCAAATGCTCACAGTACCCCTGTTGAGAAAACGGGGCTCGGTAACTATTTATTCATTGGTAAACCAGACGGAGAGGGGTGGGGAAGCTGACCACAGCTCCTCATTACTCCTTCTGCCGGCCTGGCCTGCCACAGAGTCCTTTAGGTCCAGGTGCTGCAAAACACGCAAACATGTGCCCTTGGAATTGCATCATGACCTCCTTGTGCAACCTACCAGAGAGATGATCTGTTACCATCCAGATGCTCACCTGTGCACTGGCAGCGGCCAAGGCTCCGAGTCCTAGACACGGGACGACAGAGAGTGCGTCCTGAACAGGTGCGTCCGACTCTCACGCACTTTGCGTGGTGGTGCACGGTGGTAAGATCTTTCCAGAAAGGAATTTGGTAATGTAGTATGAGAGACATAAAAGTAACAATACCTTTGACCTGTAATCCTATGTGTAGGACATCATACTGAGGAAATAATCAGAGGTTTGGATAAATGTATATACATGGTTTATTGTGATGATACTTATAAGAAGGAATAACTGGAAACAGAAATGTTCAGTAAAGGACGAATGGTGGCAGCTGTCTGTCTGTGGCTGACACTGTGGCCCAGCCAAACCAACTTCTACTCCTGTCCTCCTCTCCCTTGCCTGCCTCTAACGTGACTGGGAAGAAAAATTGCTTGCTTTGCCCCTACCTTGTGGATGGAGGGAATGTAAAAGGCAGTTCTTCCCAGTGAGGTGTAAAGACTCTGCTGGGGAATGTCTGGGAAAGCTTTGGTTTTCTAAGAAAAAGGCAGGTGCTGTCCCTTACTTGTGCTGCCCCTTCCCTTTTCTTTCCATTTGGAGTATAGATGTGATACCTGGAGCTTGGTAGCCACCTTGTAAGCATGAGTCAATAAGCATGAAGGAACAGTCAAGAAAGTCCTAGGGCACCTGCTGTGACATTGTGGAACCACTGAATCAACCCCATCAGGCACTTCTAGACTTCTTATTTGAGGGGGGGAAACCCTATTTGTTCAAGTTAGGGGTTTTTTGTTGTTTGCAGACAAAATAATTCCTAATTGATATGTTATCTTAAATTCTTTATGAAATAAGGTCTGGCAAAAATGAAAAGCTATGGTTCATTCATAACTACTAAAATATAAAGTAGCCATTAAATATAATTTTTAAGAACATTAATGATATGAAGAAATACTGATGCTATAATGATGAATGACAATGGCCTAATACAATTCTACTGTCTGATAGCAGCTATTTTTTACACACACACTCATATGGGCACAAGGAAAAAGGAGGAATGATATTGAAATGTTAACAGTGGTGTTCCTGTGGGGTGATTTTTTTTTTTCTTTTCATACTTCTCTGCATTTTCCATGACATATCACAATGATCATTATAAGAGATTAATGACCCTGACTTTCATTTTTCAAAGTTCTAGTTTTTGAAAAAATCAGCTGATTCCTTTTTCATTGTTCTTTCATTACGGTTTTGACTCCTTTCATCTCTTTAATCATGTCTGTAGTAAGCACACAGACAAATACAATACACTTTGCACACTTAGCTCAATGTCAGAGGATAATGATCACGGGATCACTGAGAGTTTAAAGTGGATTCTATTCTCCTGCCTAGCGGTCGCCCACATCAGAAGCAGTATTTGGAGAAAGCAGTTTCCCCAACAAGCAAGGCTAAGCAAGCGAGGGCAAGGGTGTCTGTGTCCCCAGCACCCACTGTTGGGCCTCACGACTACACTTCACGGTTTGGGTTTTGTTTTGTTTTATAAAATGCATACATGCATGAATGACAAATTTAACCGGAGGGCTGGCTATCTATTTGGAAGACTGACAATGTGGATCCTGGTCAGCTCTACACGGAAGCCTCCAAAGCAGACGTGGCATCCCCCTCCCTTCACCATCAGACTTTAGTCGGCTCCAGATGACACACAGAAGTTCTGGAGGCATTTTACCAAAATCACTTTTTAGTCATAGCCCTAATATCAATCAGACGGCAAAATCAGCAGAGATGGGAAGCATGCTTAGCACAGCAGACTCTGCCGGACTAAGTTAAGTACAGAGAAAGGATAAACTAGGGTACTCCAGGACCTATTGAGGTGAGGTCACACAAGGTGCTGGTGAATGAAATGCCCTGAGTACCTGCTGGAAAGAGGAAAACACTGGCTTACGCCCATCATCGATGGGAAAGCTCTCGGT